AAGTACGATGGTTCATTTTATGTGGCAACCTCTTTGGGCCACAGGGTGTCCAGATATTTGGTCAAACATTAACCTGGGTGTTTCTGTGAGGCTGTTTTCAGATGAGTTTAACATTTAAATGAAGACTGCGTAAAGCAGATGACCCTGCATAACGTGGGTGGGCCTCATCCAATCAGTTGAAGGCCTGAATAGAACTGGAGGCTGACCCTCCCCCAAAGAAGAGGCAATTCCCCCTGCCTGACAGCTTTGAGCTGGAGCACTGGTTTTTTCCTGCCTTCAGATTCAGACGGAAACATCCTCTTCCTGGGTCTCGAACCTACTGGCCTTAGGACTGGAGCTACACCAGCGGATTTCCTGGGTCTCCAGCTTGCCGACTGAAGCTCCTGGAACTTTTCAGCCTCCATAATTGCACGAGGCAATTCCTTATAATACATCTCTCTCTCTGTATATTTACATCCTACTGCTTCTGTTTCTCTGGAAAACCCTGATCAACTCAAGAAAGAAAAGCCTACACTGAAATTAAGGTAATTTGGCTCTAGTAAAATAGGATACCAAATATAATGAACCAAAAGGAATTCTCATTTTTTCAGAGCTGGGGAAACTAAGAGATCACCGCTGCCTCCTCTTGACCTCACCAATGAAGAGAGCAAGGCCCAGGGCACTCTGTCCCTTCCTGAGTTCTCAGGTCGAGCCCGGGGGGCCTGACAGCCACGCTCGTGTCCCCCACTCCATCATGCATTTCCACAGAGAAGTGAGACATCCCATTTTGGAAAAAATGAGTGAAATGGAAAAAAGATAAATCACCTGTGCTCCAACCCTGACAGATGAATTATTTAATCAGAAGCAAGAAACTATGTAGAAAATGAGACACCCAGGCCATTTCTCACTCCTCAGGTATCCAAAGAAGATAAAGGCAATGCTTTTCAGACCATGACCAAGAATTGTGGTGTCTTATAGTGATTATTTTCCCAATTCACTGGCTCTGGCTAATTAACAATTTAAGAGAAAATTTTGCTCCAGGAACTCACAACAGTTTTATAGCAAAACAAGGAAACAAGGATTTAACATTTAATCCATGCTCTGCTTTGACTTGATAGAAAAGGTGGCAGGGACTAAGGCAGTGTCTGTGTGTACATAGTGGAAAGGAGTAGGAAGGACTTAATCTGTAGTATTATTACTATGGTATTCTTATTTAATATTTACAGAGGACTTAAGGTCACCAAAGGATAAACACTCAACTCCTTCCTGATGAGTTGCGTCTCACAATTTAGAGACTTGGGACAAAGGAGAGGAAGGAAGAGCAGACCACACACACACACACACACACACACACACGCTGTGCTCTGGCTGTTCATAAACCAGAGCCATTGTTCCAAGGACTCAAGACAGCTAAGGCTGCTACAAATTAGCGGCAGGTTTGACCCTAATCCCAGAGCCTCACTCTGATGGAAGCCTCGACTACACATCTCACTCCTCATACTGGCAGATGCTGCAAAGCCAGATGCCAGTAAGAGGAAAACAACTGATTAGAGCCATATCCATGCACTTGTCAGAGTCCCCGTTTCCAATTCTTTAGAGTGTATACCTAAGAGTGGAATTGCTGGATGCTATGGTAATCCTGTTCAACTTTCTGAGGAACCCATCCTCTGAATATTTGTAGCCAATGGTGAACTGAATCTAACTAAAACTGAAACAAAGCCCAGAGCCAGCTCATCTACAGAGTAGACTATTGACATGGCCACTGTACCGGTGGCCCCACAGAGGAAGAGGCATACCCTTTACCGGTCATAGTTATTATTTATTTCAGGCTCTAGTGTTCTTTTTGGTGGTGTTTTTGTAGCTCTATTGAGGTATAATTTACACACCACAAAATTCACCCATTGTGAGTGTACAATTCAGTGATTTTAATTATGCTGAGAGAGTTGCTCAATCCTTATTACAATCCAGTTTTAGAATATTTTCATCAAGCCCCAAAATTCCCTCAAGCTTGTATGTCATCAAAGTCACTCCAGGGACCCACAGGTCTGCCTTCTGTCTCTTTATATTTCTCTTTTCTGGACATTTAATGTATCCGGAATCATAGTATAGGTAGTCTTTTGGATCTAGTGGTTCAAGTATGAGTATTAGTCTGCTAGCTCAGATGTGCATAAAAATGTTACATATCTTTATTTTCTCTCCACCCAGCCCGTGCCCTAGGAGCAAGTATAGGGAAATCCACTTGCAGGCATCCCTGTAGCTTTGAGTGGAGACTCTCCTTCCCTATGGCCATGCAAAATCTAGAAGGGCTTTTGATACCCACTGGAGCTTGGGCCATTTATTGTTCAGTCTATTAACTTTGATGCTGTTAACCTCATTATCCAACCTACAGGTTCTTTTAGGGAAAAAGCAGGTTTCTTTGTTATTTCCAGTGACAAGACTGGACTCCAGAATCTGCTGAAGCTGTGGGAGCAGATTCCCAAGGTCCAGTAAGCTGCATCACATAGCTATGCCCTTCCAAGAGCTTGCCATGTGTCCTGGCGCTGCAGCAGCTGAGGCCTGAGTCCTTGATGCTCATGGTACCACCAACCTTCACCCCTCTTCCACTCTGGAGGAGTCACCCTTCCCTCCAACTGCCGTGAAAGCCCTGCACCCCACCTGGGCTCCCTCCCCTCCCCCTCCAGGACCCCGGGAGTCAACAACGTCCTTAGCGAGACTGGACTTTCTCAAAAGACTAGAAAAAAGGTTGGTCTTCCAAGAGTCTCACAATGCCCTTGAAATAGGAAACACAAAGGGACTGCCTGCCTTTTCCAAACAGAGGGGGTGGGGAGGAACACAGAGATCATGAAACAAATGACTGTCTCAATAAATACCCTACCACACTGCTTTGCATTCACTTACCACAAACCGCATCGGTGAACAGCTAAAAGCATGCTGTAATTTCAGTTTTCTTAGCTGCACTTAGATTCCATCTACTCCAGGAAATGTGAGAGGAAGGAGGAACCACCCTCGACTCTTCCGCTAAGACACAGAGCTGGCTCTAACGCTATAGCACCGCTAGCTTCGACAATAGCCACCCACTCTGTGCCCCAGGCAGTGTTCTGAGGGTTTCACAGCAGTATCCTTTTAACCCTCACAGTGACCTTAGGTAGCAGGTGCTGCAGATCCAGATCCCTTATTTAAAGCCTTTGGAGCAAGCTCTGTTTCAGAATTCAGAATTTTTTTGCACTTTAGCAAGGTAATACAATCCATGTAATTTATACAACTTAACATTCCAAGAGAGTCTGCAGTAGATCTCACACAAACTAATTAATGTTCCTTCAATGAAACAAATAAATAACCACATCAAGTGGTCTAAATACTGTAAATAACTTTACATCAGTTTAGGTCATGTTTTGCCTCCAAATGAACTAAGAAATAAGAAAGGCTTTTGGTTCTCAGAACGTTTTGGATTTGGGACATGTATTATAGGCCCCATTTTACAGATAGAGAGAATGAGGCACAGCAAGATGAGGTAACTTGTCCAAGGTGACGTAGCTCAGAAGTGGTGGGGGTGCTCCACGCTTCAGAGGACTCCCGCCATGCTGAGAGCAAGTGGGTCAGGAGAAAACTACCTTGATCACTCTCTCTACCAGAAACTCACCCCCGACCTTCCCACTCCACAGCGTGGGCAGCCTTGTGTATGAAACCCCCTCCTCCTCCCGCCGCCCGCCTAATCCAGAGCTTCTCTGATACTCATTTTATCTCACCTAAATACGGTTTAAAATAGTAGAAGGAAGCCCCAGGCGCCCCTAACAGGCCCAAGAGGGACCCACGGGAATTGGGTGTGGGGGCAGGTACCGACTTGAGAACCCTCCCTGCCGTCCTCCAGGGGTGGCGTTAAAGGCCTGGGAGGGGGAGCCGGCGGCGCGGGGAAGCCGGCGAAGCCAATCTCGATACACATAGCAAAACTGAATCCTTCCGGGAAGCCAGGAGAGGGCGCGTCCGCCTTTTCCTATTTGCATGAGTTTTTTTTTTTTTTTTTTTTTTTCATTTTCCTCCAGCCAGTGAGCAGCGTGGATGCGCAACCACGTGCTGCGTATTCCCAAAGAGTTGAGCAGCGTCAGCCCCTTGGTTCGTAAACCAAGTTTTTACCCCCGTGTGAAGTCCTTCAAGGTCTTCCGCTCGAACGTGCTCCTAGCCTCTCTCTGTCGCATCCCTCCTGGTACCCCGCCCTAATTTCTGTTTTCTTGTCTCGCACGAGGGTCTTGTTGCCGGCAGCACTGGCTGCACCGCCTTGGCCGACCTTGACCTGGCGATCAGACGCCTTTTGCGTCCCATGTCTGCGTCCTTGCTCATCCCTTCTCGCGGTGCTTAGGATGCAAACAAGGACAGTTCTCCCTCCTTCCTCGTCTTGTTTCCTCCCTTTTAATTCTACTAGTAATCCAGAGGCATCTTCCTTCCTGCGGTACAGTGGATCCACACGGCAGCGAAGACTGCTTCCCAGATACAGTCCACCTCAATCCAGTAATCCCACCTGCTTGGGGGCACTTGAAGCATCCAGGCGTCAACAGATGGCCTGATCCCTGGGAATGAGAGCCCAAGAAACATCCTGCCGACTTTTTGTTTTTAACGAGAGGTTTATTTTAAGGGCAAAATCGGGTGGAAAGCCATGCATGGTCAGTTAACTAAATCGAGGTGTAAGCCTTTTTAACAGAAATGGAGACTTCCTTCCAAGGACGCCTGGGACCGTCCTCCTCTTTCCGTGGGGCGCAGCGACCCCCTGTGGCTCTGGCCTTCGATAGGCACCCCCGCAAGAAAGACCGACTCTGCACACTTTGATTTTAATTAGTAATTTATTTTAATTAACGCTGTCCGTCACCGTAGCCACGTTGACACCTTGGCGCACCCCGCTTGGCCTGGCCTCCAGGCCTTGAACCTCAGGACCCGCGGCGTTGGGACTCTGCGGGCGGGGGCAGGAGTGAGGAGGGGCGGGGCCTGCGGAGGGGCGGGGCCCGGGAAATTCCCCGGCCTGGCACCGCGGTCAGCTGAGCAAGCGCTGGGCGGGGTCGCGAGGCAGCACGTCAGCTCTCGCTGTTCGCAAGCACCCTGGCCGATCCCCTAGTCTGCATCCGGGTCGGGAGCCCTCCCCCAGTGGGCGCGATGCCGAGGAAGCAGTGACCCCCGGAGAGGCCGGAGCGCGGGCGCTGGGTGAGCGGGGGCGGGGGGCTCCTTGTCTGCCCTGGAAGCTGTGCCTGCCTGCGCCTCTGAGGCTGTAGGATGTGGGTGGCGAGGGGTGGGGCGTCCCCTCCGGTGGGAGGGCTGCCCCTGGGGACTCTACAGGCGCCTGCCGATCCTGACCTGGTGAGAAAGGGCAGCGGGGGCGGCCATCCCAAAGCGTCCTTCCCCTGTTTTTCCGGCCTGGCTGGCCGCAGGTGACTTCCTCCGTAGGTCACGAAGGTGGTTTAAGGGTGACATCCTCCCGCAGGTTAGGAATGATTATACAGCCAGTTCCTCATTATAAGGGACGTGGTTAAGGGTACGCCTTTGGAAGACATAAAATCTACTCTAGCTTTATGAGATGGCCCAGGCACACCGAGGAACAAGTGACCTCTCTCTAAGGAGGTGGGATTACTGAACAGCTGAAAGGAATCTTCATAAACCGTTGTGTCTAGGAGAGCATGTGTGTATGTATGTGTTTTTGGGTGTGTGTATACATACGTAGAGATAGACACAGAGAGACAGAATATGAATATTTAATGAAGCTGAGAATCCCAAAGGAATTGGTTTTACTGTCGGAAGTGTGTGAGCTGGACACAGTAAACATCCTAGGAGAAAATGAAACCCGGGTTCAGGTCTGCCTTCTTGACCGGGAAAACTGTTGTGTGGAAGTGTATGCCACAGAAGTGTTGGAGAATGAAATGGAAACCCGAAGCTGTAAAACAGTAAGGCGGTGTTAGGGTATCAGAAACCTCGGGTCTGGTTAAGCCAGGCGGCACTATTAACAGAAGAATCCCCTTGGCTCTTTGCCCAGGGACAGAAGAGGGAGGGGGCCCTGGCTACCTCCCAGGATGTGCCCAGTTTGTAGTGGGCCCTGAGAAGAGGCCAGTGCCAGGGACTTCCCTGGAATGGGCTAGGCAGGGGAAGTCTGAATGTGGCCTTTAGAGAGAGGACAATCATTGGAGTCTTTAGGGGTGATTGATCAGTTTTTCTACTGGGCCAATTTTAGCCGTTCTTTGTATATTGTGTACGATATTTTAAAAGTAGCTTCTTTTTTGTAACTGACCTCAGGTTGCATATTATGCTATGGAATCCAACTAAACCCTCTAGAAAACGAAAATAAACTTTATTTTTGAAAGGAGTTGGTCATCGTATTACAGTAGTCCCCCCTTATCTGCCCAAGGTATGTTCCAGGACCCCCAGTGGATGCCTGAAACTGCGGATAGTCCCGAACCCTGTATATACTATGTTTTTTCCTATACATACCTATACATACATTAATTTATAAATTAGCCACAGTGAGAGATTAACAACAATAACTTCTCTTTGGCATATCCAGCATCACTACTCTTGCGCTTTGGGGCCACTATTAAATAAAATAAGGGTGACTAGAACACAAGCCCTGCAATAAGCCACAGTCATCTGATAACTGAGATGGCTGCTAAGTGACTAATGGGCGGGTAGCATATGCAGCCTGGATACAGTGGATAAAAGGATGATTCACATCCCAGGTGGGACAAAGCTGGAGGGTGTGAGATTTCATCACGCTACTCAGAAGAGTGAGCAATTTAAAACTTAGGAATTGTTTATTTCTGGAATTTTTCCTTTAATATTTTCAGACCATGGCTGACCGTGGGCACTGAAATGGTGGATAAGGGGGGGACTAGCGTATTGCCTTCTGTTGGTGTGGGGAAGACGTCCATGTGTTTGGTTGCATTTTAATATATGGGCGCTAAGAGAACGCCCATAGATGTTATGATACAGTGATATATCAGAGAGAGTGCACTTATCTTTCCTCCTCTACAGTGACTCTGCATTTCTTCATGAAAAGGCCTATCATCATCTTCATGAAGTGCGAAAAGGAACATTTGCCTATAGAATGTAGCCAGTCATGAGAAGAGATTTCTATTTGCCTGCGTGGTAGGCCATGGAGAAGTGGAGTTGGGATATAAGAGTCTATCTTCTTTATGTCCACATGGACCCCTTAGTAAAGTGGTATGCTTAAAATAGCCTCAGAATATGCAGTATCTAAGCAAGATTTCTTAGTGTTTTTAGTGTACTTTGCAAAATTATCTAATATCGAAGCCTAAGTATTCAGTAGCACCTTTATTGTGTAACAGGGTTGAGTTTTGGAATCATCCTTGATACTCAGTTGCGCCCCTTATTAAGTGACGATGGACAAGTTGTAAACCTCTGTAACTCAGCCCCATCACTTGTAAAATAGCTCTCTAGTTGAGTGTTAGTGAGGGTTAGAAACTGACAAGTCTGGTCCCGTGATTCAGACATTTTAAGTATCCAAAAATGTGTTAGTTCTCCCTTTCCTCTTAGCCAAAAATACAAGAAATAAAATATGGAGTGTTTTTTTTTTGATGGCATTATTGAGATATAATTCACGTACCATACAATTCACTCAAAATATGGAGATTTGAGCTTAAAGATTTGCGTGGGAAAATTAATTTAATGGTACTTTGCCCATGTCTACAAATATATATGGAAACCCTCTTGAATTCCTCGTATTAGGATTTCTGATCATCATATCATGCCCTTCATTTCCACCTCCATTTCCCAACTCCTCGCTGTACCCCTTTATACACCCATATACACAGACACACACATGCACACATATACACAGTGAAGCTAGGATATACTTTTTTTGTTTAAAAAGGAAGAATCAAAAATGTTCAAAATATAATTGGAGAGACAGTAGACAGCTTTTGGAATACTTATTAGCAATTGCTAGGAGATTTTTGCAAGACTCCTGGGGACCCCTTGCAGAGGAGGGGGCAGCTATATTTTCAGTTTTATGACTTTTCCATAGGAACTGCTGCCATGTCCCACCAACCACTTAGCTGCCTGACTGAAAAGGGGGACAGCCCCATTGAAACCACAGGAAATGGACCCCCCCATCTAGCTCACCCAAGCCTGGACACGTTCACACCAGAGGAGCTGCTGCAGCAGATGAAAGAGCTCCTAACTGAGAATCATCAGCTGAAAGGTGAGCAGCACCTGGCCCCATGTTTCTTCCTTCACCCCAGGGCCTTCAGGCACGTAATCCCTTTGTAATTAGGCTTATAGGTGAGGTGAGCTCCCTTCGCTCTATCTGGTTCCCTGGGGGGAGAAAGAGCACAGAATTTAGCTTTTAGTAAAGCTATAACTGTTTCCGTTGTTTACTTTTGGATACAGGTAAGAATAAAAAGTACTTTATGTATCTCAGGGAAATGGCATAATGTCATTTAGCCCACTTAAAAGGAAAAAGAAAGAAAGCCTGTTGTTATAGTCATGCACCGCATAATGACGTTTTGATCAAGGATGAATCGCATATACGATGGTGGTCCCATAAGATGAGTACTATATAGCCTAGGTATGTAGTAGTCTATACCATCCAGGTTTGTGTAAGTACACTGTATGATGTTTGCACAACAAAAAAATCACCTAATGATGCATTTCTCAGAATGTGTCCCTGTCGTTAAGTGACGCGTGACTGTATTACAGAGTTAGTCCTAAATATTACCTTGTTAAGAGAAAGTGTGCTAATATCTCAAGCCATGGCTTTTGGCAGGACCAATTTTCAAATCTAGGAGTGCTAGACCTTAGCCCTTCTAGCTAATTAATAGGTGTTTGTGCTAAGTGGAGGTACACAAATGAGTTGTATTTTCATGAGACTTTTGGGGACTAGAAATGACATGACAGCCACTAGTCCTGTCTGGAAGCAAAAACTACTCCTCCTGCTCCAGTCTTTTTCCAGCTGACCCTTGGGCACAGGCCAAGCATCGCATGTGTAGATTCAGAGCTACATGGTGGAGTGGTCTAAGGTGAGGTTTGATTCATTAAGTCAAGTCTGGCCCCCTGGTGTGTGACACCATCACTCTGAATCCCATACAGAAGCCATGAAGCTAAATAATCAAGCTATGAAAGGGCGATTTGAGGAGCTTTCAGCCTGGACAGAGAAACAGAAGGAAGAACGCCTTTTTTTTGAGATCCAGAGCAAAGAAGCCAAAGAGCGCCTAATGGCTTTGAGTCATGAAAATGAAAAATTGAAGGAAGAACTTGGAAAACTAAAGGGCAAAACAGAAAGGTCATTCGAGGTGAGCAGACTGATCAGTTGGGATTTTATTTTTATTAATATTTGTAGTGGAATCTTATTTGTCTAGGGTTCTAGATCCAAACTTTTCATGGTTCAGGCTAGATGAGTGTTTTGCGTTATCTTGAAAGAAGTGTTCTTGCTGAGAAAATTGGTTGCAGTTTTAAAGGTCATGTATAATCTCTGTTGGGGGAAAGAAATTTATAAAGCTTTGACCACATTGATTATAGTCAAAAGAATGTTGTATTGGTTATAAATCAATATTTTATATTCATTATAAATGGTGCAGAAGGACTTCTGCCTAGAATCATCCAAGTGTTAGTTTTCAGTTTATGTCTTTGATAGAAAATTACATTTAAAAAAATCCAGTATTACTCATAATTTTTACTTATTGACCTTGTCTTTTCTCTCAGTCTAAAATAGATTCCTCACTTTACATTTACTTTTGAAAAATGGTTTGACAAATGGCATGTTGTGATACAAGGCTGTATAGGGTTGCCACCTTTTTGTTGACCCAAAGAACCTGGGAAATGTGCTTACCCCCAAGAGTGGGTGTCAAAGACGTTAGTGAAAAATCAAATCAGAACACATTTGAAGCCTCTGCCCATACTCTAAGGCGCACTGGGGATTATTTGTTGAGATGGACATCTGTTCATTTTCTTCCAAACCTGGAACTTAGCCGCTCTTTTGGAGGATGGAGCACTGGGTTGATTCAGGGAGGATGTAATCCCGGATATCAGCGATTTTTCTTGAGACTTTACCTTGAATTTTCTTGATCTCTAATTTCTTGAATGTGTAAAGAATGCAACAAAGAAATGAAATGGAAAGAAAATAATGAAAAGGGGATGATCTAGAATAATCTAAAGAATGAAAAGTTGTTTAGAAAAATGTCATAGTTTACATCAACAATCTTACTCATCACCTCCTGCTCATGGGACACTAAAAACATTCCACTTAAATAAATTTATATTTGTATTGGAAATGTTTCATTGTTGAGATTTATCACATCTGATGCTTCAACTTGTGTTACAGTTCAAAGAGCATTCAATCACTTCTTTGGGAGAAATCTCTCATTGTCTAAATATTTTTGATGTAGAATACTATGAAGAAGTGATTACCTGAGATATATGAGTAATTTTCTAGTCTCTGGGAGAAAATATCTTACATTCTTTTATTTCCTTGGATTTTGGGATGTGAGCTGACAGTTGGCTTTAGCCTGCTGGGGCCTAGCACATTGAAGCCAAAAAGGAAGCTTCCGGAAGCAATTTGTCTGTTTGAGATAGTCTACCTGTAGGTTTTCCTAAAAGGTCCCAGTATTGGAAGAAGTTGAGATGGGAAGCTGGAGCTTTGGGCAGCTTCTTTCAATGCAGATGATCTGTTGAAGCAAGCTGCAAGCAGGACTCAGAAATGAGTCCTTGGGACAAAGAAACACTTATGACTCTAAAGCCCTTGGTCATCAGCTTTCTCTTCCACAACTGTGCCTCCCAGGTCCGCCCCTTGCCTCCCTTCCTCTTCTTTAATTTTTGTTTCTTGGACCATTTGAGGTGATTTGATAAAATTTAGGCCCTCATATTCCTGACTTAGTAAAGCTCTCAAGGCCTCAGACTTTTCTCACTCGTGCTGGCCCATCTTGGCTGCTGTCTCTACAGGGAGTTCCCCCAAGCCATCAGGCCCTCTCATGTGTTCTCTGTCACGTAAGGGAAGGGATTAGGGAATTTCCTTTGCACATCTGCCTTCCGATCCTCAGGGTGAGGCTGAGGCATTAATGGTTCTGTCCGATTTCACTGAATTACATATTATAATGATCTCTAAAGAGTACTTTTAACTTTTAATTACAGATTGCTAGGCAAAGGTCGTTAGATAGACTTTGCTTCTTGGAATATAAAACCTGGGAGCATTTCCAGGACATGAGCATAGAGACATTATACAAGTACACAAAAAGGCAGAGAAGTAGTTTTCTTGCTCAAAGGTCCATGGTAAGTCCTCAAAAGTGATGAAAGACCTAACAAATAATGGAGTTGGGGTTGAGATCCCAGACCACAAACCATGGGAGTTCTAGTCCAGGAAGGCAATAGAAGGAGTCTCAGTAGTAAAATGAAGAGAAATTGAAAGTGTTATCTTACAAGACGTTTTGTGGCCACATATGTAGATTCATAGTTTCCCAAGGATAGTGGAGAGATCCTCACAATTGTGAAAAAGAAAATTAACCTGACGGTCCAAGATGCTAGTGTCATGGCCTTATATCCCTGGTCCTCAGACAGGGATATAAAACTCTTATTATTCAAAACTCTTATTTTTTACCCTTATGCCAAGGTGGTTTTTAAAAATCCATCTACCAAATGTCCTCAGGGAGGGCAGGAGGGTAAACGTGGAGATTCCTAACAGGGCAAAGTCTTGCGCTGAACCAGGGCTGCTTGCTTCCTGGTTCAGGCTAAGTAGTACTTTTCCTTTTAGGTTTCCATTCCTTTAAATTCCTGTTTCTTTGGTATGAGTCATAACTAAGAGAGATTGCACAGGCTTTAACCTTTCCTTGCAGAACTGACTCTTCAGTTTCACAATGAGTGCTTTTCTCTAAGGCCTGTGGTAGTGTCCTAGCACAAGAATGTCCCACGTGAAGGAAGAGCATGCTCTCCCTGGTGACGGGCACTTTGTGCTGCAAGTTCATACCCACCCCTCACTTTTTAATATTCCCCAGACTAGCTGATTTATGGTCCATTTGCATGCCTTTCTGATACCTTTTGATTCTACTATGAGCCTTTGGGCCTGTTTACCATTCCTTGGGAAGTCTTTCACAGAGAGGGGGGAGTGTGTGTATGTCAATTTTCTAATGTGTTGCAATCTCTGATAATCTCAAGTGCATATATTTCTGGTGGTGCCGGGCCCATGAAAGCAGTGAAGGTTTCCTGAGGAGGAAATCAGACAGGCCTAGAAGGTCACGGCTGAGGAGACCACAGAGACCATGTGGTGCCTTGTCTTTCTTTCCAAACCAAGAAAACTGAGGGCAAGACATTAAGTGAATCTGCTCGAGGCGACACACACAGTGACAAGCAGAATGTGGACTAGAATCTGTTTTCTCTAGTCCCAAGTAAAACCACATGTCTGAACAGAGTCTTTCTCTTGTGACTTAGTCATATGCAGTAATTGCAACAGGATGAACACAACACATACTTAACAGTGGTGAAATATTAATATTTATATAGGTTGAAGTTTAGTTTTTTTACTTTTGGTACCAGCCTCTGAATTTTCTGTTTTTTTATTTCTCACCAGACTGATTTTAGCAACCTTAAAACACCAACATAGAATATTACCACAACCAGATTGTGTACTGGGAGAATTTTGGACCTTTCATTGTGTTTTGCCTTTACTGTACCAAGTCGTGTCCTTGGTGCTTTGACTTCTAAGTAGACATGACAAGTCTATAGAGAGGGGCAGTGGGTGTGCATTTGTGGGGAGAAAAATAAAGGGAAGACCTTGAGTTGTGGCAGCTTTTTGTCCTTATTTTCTGGGATTTTGGACTACAATGTACAAGTCTTACCAAGTCTGGTTGGTTATTTTCATGATACCAGATTATTCTAGCATGCTGAGGAAGCCTTTCTTTCTTGTAATGAAGTTATTTTAATTTTCTATTATTTGAATACAGTAAGCTGATGTAAAAGCTTCCATTTTAAATGTTATGTCAAAATAAATTGCCAAGGGAAAGCTAGAATTTTCTACCATAAAGTAGAGCTGTCTTGCCAATCGTTGTGGGGGCACTCGAGTTTGATAGCCGGTCTTTAGTTTGATTCATTAATTCACTTTGTTCCTCCTCATTTTCAGGACCCCACTGGGGACCCCAAGGTCCCCAAGGCAGAAGCAGAACAGGAAATGGAACAGCTGAAGACCCAGGTGGCACGCCTTCAAGCTGAAAAGGCAGATCTGCTGGGCATTGTGTCTGAACTGCAACTCAAGCTGAACTCAAGCGGCCCCTCTGAAGACTCCTTTGTTGAAATTAGGATGGCTGTAAGTCTTTTGGTTTCGGTTTTGTTTTAAGAAAAGGACAAAACCTCACCTCAACAGTTGGTCTAAATACCACCGTTTCCTTTCAACACAGGGAAGCCCAATAGTGGGTAAATTTCAGTGTAGCCAAGATAAATTGGCTCTTGTTTATGAAGTATACCATAATGCTCATAAGGATTATCATAGATGAAATAGAAAAATACCGATTGCCTTTTATGACAAAAGAGATACCTTTACTTTTCCAGTATGTCCTGCAAAATCAGACATTTTGTGACTCGCCTAAAAAAAAAAAAGTATAAACTTTCCCAGACCAGGTCTCAAAGCTGTGTTCAGCATTTCACTTAGGTGAGCAGAATCGTGATCGGAAGCCATAAACTAATGGCTTTAAAACACTTTTTAATAATAGAACCTTCTTTTCAAACAGAGTCTTATAAGGAACCACGGTTTATTAAAAATAAGAAGTGGAGAGAAGAAAGAGCAGAGCTGCTCTGGTTGTAGGTTGGGGGAGTGTCTTGTCTTCTCCCTCTCTTCTAACGACAACTGTGCGGGAATCTCTGAGAACCCAGTTTGAAGCCAGTGCCATCAAACTCAAATTTTGTGCACCCCAAAACAGAGGGAGCTAAGTGAGGTGGCATGTGCTGACCCATCCCTAAGCACGTGTGAAGTGTCTGTTATGGCTGTATGTGGGTGTGCGTGTAGTCCTACTGAGGGCAGAGCAGGTAGATGGAGGGACCTTCCCTTCATTGCTACTGAAAAATATTGAATAGTGAGGGAGAAAAACACAGCAGGATAAAATCCTGTAATGTACATTGTCATTTTGGCTTTGTCAAAGTGCACATCTGACAAAGGATAAGTGATTAGTTGCGTCTCCGAAAGAGAAAAATGGACCTTGTAGATAAGTGTTGGGGAGCAGCTTGCAAAAAGCTGAACTCCTGAATGTGTCTGAAGTATTCCTGTATGACTTTCTGTACTTTCTGCTTCACTTGCTGCACTCAAGATGATCAGAGTTGGAAAATAGCTCTTAATAACCTTTGCCATCCATGCCTCTAATAAATTTTGGATGCGTGAATAGTGGCTAAAATGAAGAGAATTAAAATACCAACTGAAAAGCACACTTTGCCAGAGTACCCTTTCTGCAAATGACCAAAGATTATGAAACACAAATTTGGTCAAAGAGCTTTAACCTTCTGCAAATAACTGATAAAATTCAGGAGGCCCAAAGAGCATATCAGAAGTTCCCAAATGAGGCTGTTCTTCGGGGTGCGTGGTTAGCTTTCTATTCTCCCTCACCGATGGTTGACAGTTACTTTTAATGTAAACAAGTTTTTCTTGCTTTGCTTTTGTGAATTAGAAAACACTGCCCAAGATTTAGGAAGAACGTACACAACCCAAATTATCTGGGACCATCTTGGTTCATTTTTTTGAAGATTTTCCTAGTAGCTCATTAGAATATAAATGTCTTTCAAATCATTGACGTGGTCTTAGTCTCCTTGTTCCTTAAATGGCCCAAGACGCGTACAAACTTCTAACAGGAGCCAACTTTGTGCTTTGTGAGCCTCGCCCACAGAAAATGGCCTCTTTTTCGACTTTGCTTCTGCAAGCTCTGGCATTTTGTGTTTTCATGGACTGTACAGAAAGGTATGTGGAGTTGTCACTAGTTCTGTGTGACCTTATTAACCTAGGAAAGGAGGGAAGTGCCACCGAGAGACAGGAGATATGTTTTCGTGTTTATGGGATCAGGTTGACTGTGCTGAATGAGAGGAGACTGAACTTCACGCCTTGTCGAGACATTTATAATCCTGACAGGGTGTGTGGGGTGAGGAAGGGTAAATTTCCATTCCATTTGAGTACATTTCATATTTAAATGTTTGGTGGGTTCCGTGGGTTCCAAGTCATCAAAATTCTTGATCTTTTGCTTTTTTCTCTTTTGATAAAGAATTTGTCTTGCAGACATATGTGTTAAATCCCTCTCATTTTTGCTTTTACAGGAAGGAGAAGCAGATGTGGCAATGAAAGAATTCAAGACTCGTCCTGGGCGCACAAGAACTGAGTCTATTGACATGTATGTGAAGAAAGGCTAGGGCTGCCAGACAGACAGACTGGGCAGTCTTGTCACTTTCAGCTGGCTACTGGGAGGTCAAACATGGGGGGCTGAAAAGTCACTGCTTATTCACTTATATGAGGGCCTTTCAAGAATGTTCGGTTTGAATGCTATTTAATGTTGCAGCCGAAACTGGAAGAGAATAAAAATGATATGTGGTGCCTTTGTAGGCTAGCTAACCCTCACTGCTCCCTTTAGAGGTGTTTCATCTCCATCAGATGAGAAGTGAAAACACACTTGTTCTCAGTCCAAAGACCCCTGGTTCCTCATTTGTTCATCACTGTTTGACCTGGACCAGGCTGCCCGCTTGATAAGTGGGATGTTTCCATTTTCTCTGCCCTGTTCATTCCCGAGTACAAGCCAAGGTGACTCCTATAACAAGGCCAGTTATTGCTCTGAGTCACTTGGGTGTTGCTCGAAAGTGCCAGATGTCTTCCCTGTGGAGTCTCAAGTTGACCTGTCCCAAGTATGTGTTAGGAAATGGACATCTTAAATGGTGGGGGGACTTTGAGGAGGAGATGGTAGAGGAACTGGGCGCCTGGGCCTCAGCAGGTAGCACTCACCTAGAAAGGGCTGTTGGCTCGTCCTCTGCAAGTGGCTTACTACTGTGTGAGTCTACTTAACAGAGACAGTTACCGGAACATTCCTCTCAGCATCTCTTCCCTCATAAGCCTTTAATATCTTTTTTTCTATAACTTGATGAATCTACTTATAAAACATGAAAATGGGTTGTTATTTTCTTTCAGTTATGCTCCCAGGCCTTGGTATAAGTGAGAAAATAAGTACTAGATAATATTCTTTCATCAAACAGGGCTGTTGGTATAAGTGAAAATTATTCCCTTTTTTAGTCAGAAATTGCTCAGCTTTCCCCCAGATTGCTTCTTTAATATTAAAAGACTTTCCTGAATGTGGTGGGAAGGAAGAAAGCCCTGTTTGAAATTTCCAGACCACTTCCTCCTCATTCATCTCCACACGCAAAGACCACTTCCTCTTTTAAGCCACATGGCTCTTGTTTAATAGCAGCTTCTTCACCGTTTGAAAGTATCATAAGGAGTCAGAGGTTGGTTTCTGGGTTTTGAGTTTGAACCTTGCATTTGGGGAACTGGGCTTTATTAGACTCTGCACTTCAGTAGATAACTGAAAGAGTAGCTGCCATTAGCACCAGCATAGGAATGTTTAGAATCATCCGGAACGTTTAGTTACTGTAGCAGCGGTCTTGGTTTTGTTTGTTTGTCCTTGAAATGCGTCTTGATTTAATCAGAGTCTGAACTTGAGAAGAATGTTTGACACATCAACAGTGCCTACATTTCTCTGCTCTAATAATTTGAAACCAAAAATGAAAATGATATTCTTAAGAATGTGATGATTTGTGTCGCATTAGAGGAAAGGCAGTGGTCTGCGTGTCGCCATAGGCAGCACGCGTGCTTGTGTACTGCATCTGGCTGCCATGCTCTTTTGAGACTAGTTCTCTAGGAAAGCCAAGCACCGAAAAGCAGGCTCCCTCTGCTCCACTGTTTTCGTGGGTCCTGTGGTCTCGTGTCGTGGGCACGGTGACCATTGTAGGAGGTGAGTTTGTGCACTGTAAGGCGAGCTTACCCATTAGTCCCCACTCCTTCCCTGGAAAGCAGGAGGATTGTGGCCCTGGGGGTTGCAGGGCCAGTTGTGCTCGGTCAGTAAATGGGAATTAATTGGAGAATCTTCTGGAAAACGGTTCCTTTAAGTTGGTTCTAGTTACATTGGGCTGCTCCATTCTTAGACTTTGACATTTTCATTTTCTAATGAAAACTTTTTAACCTTTATACTGTCTTGATGTAGGAGCAAATCTGCAGAAGGTACCAGAAATTATTTGGAGTTTGAGGAATTAACTGTGAGCCAGCTCATGCTTTGTCTGAGGGAAGGAAACCAGAAGGTGGAGAAACTTGAAATTGCCCTCAAAGAAGCCAAAGAAAGGTATGAAATAGATGACTTGAAAGATGCATATTTTTTAACAGTTTCATTGAGATCTAATTAAGATAGCATGCAATCCATTCAAAGTGTACATTTCAGTGATTTTTAAAATATTCACAGTGTTATTTTAACTATTACCACAATATAATTTTAGAACATTTTTTCTCCCAAATAAGAAACTCAATACCCATTAGCACTCATTCCCCCTTTCTCCCAGTAACTTTCTCTCTGTTTCTATTGACTTACCTATTCTGGACATTTCATATAAATGGAATCATATAATATGTGATGTTTTGTGATTTGCTTCTTTATGTAGCATGTTTTCGAGGTTCATCCATGTTGTAGCATATACCAGTTCTTCCCTTTTTGTTGCTGAATAACATTCCATTATTTAACTAGATAATATTTTATTTACCTGTTCATCAGTTGCTGGACATTTAGGTTGTTCTCACTTTTTGACTATTATGAATAATGCTTACTCTAAACATTCATGCACAGTTTTTTGTGTGGACACATCTTTTTAATTCTCTGGGGTATATACTTACGAATGAAATTGCTGGGTCATATGGTAACTCTATGTTTAATATTTTGAGGAACTACCAAACCATTTTCCACAGTGGCTGCACTACTTTACATTCCCACCAGCAATGGATGAGCGTTCTACTTTCTCCACATCCTCACCAACACTTGTTATTGTCTGTCTTTCTGGATATAGCCAGTCTTGTGGATGTGGAGTGGTATCTCATTGTGGTTTTTATTTTATTTCCTTAATGACTATATAATGTTGAGCGTCTTTTCATGTTATCTTCTTTAAAGAAATATCTATTCAAATCCTTTGCCCATTCAAAAATATTGGGTTGTCTTTTATTATTGAATTATAAGAGTTCACTGTATATTTTGGATGCAAGTCTTTTATGAGATATATGATGTGCAAATATTTTCTCCAATTCTATGGATTATTTTTGCACTTCCTTGATGATATCGTTTGCAACACAATTTTTTAAAATTTTGATGTAGCCCAATTTATCTATTTTTTTCTTTCATCATTTGTGCTTTTGGTATTGTATCTAAGAAACCATTTCCTAACCCAAGGTCACAAAGATTCACTCCTATGTTTTCTCTTAAAAGTTTTAGAGTTTTAGCTTTTACATTTAAGTCTTTAATCCATTTTAAGTTCATTTTTGTGTATGGTGTAAGGTAAGGGTCCAACTTCATTCTTGCATATGTGGAATCCAGTTGTCTCAGTACCATTTGTTGAAAAGACTATTCCTTCCCTCATTGAATTGTCTTGGCCCCCTTGCTGTAAATCACTTGACCATAAATATAAAGGTTAATTTCCAAACCCTCAATCTTATTCCATTGATCTGTCTTTATCCAGTACTTTATTATCTTCATTACTATAGTTTTGTAGTAAATTTTGAAATCAGAACAAGTAAGTCCTTCAGCTTTGTTCTTCTTTTAAAAGATTGTTTTGTCTCTTCTGGGTCCCTTGTTTGTCTATATGAATTTTAGAATAAGCTTGTTACTTTCTGAAAAAAATAAGTTGGGATTGCATTGAACCTGGAGATCAGTTTGGGGAGCATTGCCATCTTAACAATATTAAGTCTTCTGATCCATGAACATGGGGTATCTTTCCATTTATTTAGGTCATCTTTAATTTCCTTCAATGATGTTTTGGAGTTTTCAGAATACTGGTCTTGCACTTCTTTTTAAAAATTTACTCCTATGTATTGTATTCTTTTTGGTGCTATTATACATGAAATTGTCTTCCTTATTTCATTTTTGGATTATTCATTGCTAGTGTATAGAACTACAACTGATTTTTGTAAATTAATCTTGTAGCCTGCAACCTTATGAACTCATTTACTAGCACTAATAATTTTTTTTTAGTGGATTCCTTAGGATTTTCTATATGCAAGATCATGTCATCTGCAAATAGAGATAGTTTGGCTTTTTCCATACCACCGAGGATACCTTTTGGTTCTTTTTCTTGCCTGATGGCTTTGGCAAGAACTTCCAGTACAATGTTAAATAAAAGTGGAGAGAGCAGACATCCTTGTCTTGTTCTTAATCTTCAGGGGAAAGTTTTCAGTCTTTTAACATAAGTATGGTTAGCTGTAGGTTTTTCATAGATGCTTTTATCAGGCTGAGAAGCTCCCTTCTAGTTCTAGTCTGTTGCAATTTTTATCTGGAAAGGGTTTTGGATTTGTTAAATACTTTTTCTGTTTGTGGAGATGATCATATGGGTTTTTTAATTGAATGGGTTTATTAATATGCTGTATTACATTGATTTTCAGATGTTAAACCAACGTTTTATTCTTGGATAAACCTCACTTTTTATTCACTGAATAAAACTCACTTGGTGTATAATCCTTTTTATATGTTGCTAGTTTGGATTGTAGTGTTTTGTTAGGGATTAGCTGTATTCATAAGGGATATTGGTCTATAGTTTTCTTGTGATGTCTTCATCTGGTTTTAGTATAAGGGTATTACTGGCCTCAGAGAATATGACACACACACACACACACACACACACACTTTGGCATAAAATTTATCTACCTTATAGAGTTGTGAAGTCAATGAATTTCTATTTGCGAATGCACTTTTTAGAAATGCAAAGTGCTAAACCATCTAAGACATGGAGGAAGTTATGTAATAGTTTTAGGGTTCCAGTGATTGCAACATTAAATCGTGAATATATTATGACATAATTAATTCTCTCAGACATTATAAATGACTCATTAACCTTAAAAGTATAGCACTGTAAGAAGCACTTTCTAACTGCAGCAGTTTAAATTTTTAACTATAGGAAGATCTGTTCTTAAAATCTGAAACATAAACTATTTATTCAGATTGGGGTTAACCTGGAAGACTCATTGGCATTTGTCCAACGACTTATTTGATGGTCAGCTTTTTTCAAAGGTGAAAAAGGCGTGGTGTCTGTAAATCTAGGTTTTTACCCCATATCCTACTGCTGTCCCTTAGAAAAGTTTGGAGCTTGACTTCTCAGAGACTGGTACCATGTATTCTAGTGGAGTAAAATATTTGTCCTGCCTGTTTGAAAAATACGAAAACATAGTAACAATGCACAAATAAATAACAGGGTCCCTTTCTCAGTAGCATTAATTTTCTCCTTCATGAGCCAGCTTTCTCTCAGTATTTAACAACTGGCAAGTCAGTGATTAGCCATCAAGACTGATGTTCTCCATGTGGGCTTCAGGATCATGATTTCCTCCTCACTGAGGTAGGACTGATACGTGCACAACCTGGCTTGTCACACACTATATAGGATGTGATCAAAACACATTCCAAGACCTAACCTGTCTTTTTCTCAAATAGGTCAATCTTCAACCATTTTCATGAATCATGAGAAAAATTTATTCTGAAACATTTTAGGTGATTTGTGGGGAGAGGGGGCAGTAGATTTGTCTTTATTTCACTGTTTGCCAGGATTAATAGTTCATGTAATTTATATTTTCTAAACCAACTTAAAATGACAGCCAGTAAGGAGAGGGACTCTGTGGCCCAGGAAAGTTGAGAGGGAGCAGGGAAAAGTCAGCCCAAGATGAAAATTTGCCCTGGAAAATTAAGATAAGCTGTAATTCAAATGCAGGTCAAAAGTTTGTATCATATGTGAGTGATGTGGTAAAGGCCCGTCCTTCAACCCTGCACCAGCTGGCTCTTCACCCATTTATGTGCTTTCCTGGAAATAGTGCCTGTGTACCAATTAGGTTTGGCAACTTGCAGCAGATACCATTGCTGTTTGTTTTATTTTTTATTATCACTAAGTTCTTTTTTAAAAGTCAGTGTTGCATTCACATAGTTTTAAAGAATCAGTTGTTCCACAAGCTTCTTACGGCAAAACAGTATTTCTTTGACCAACCCCCCCACTTCCTTGTCCTGCTTCCTAGACAACCACTTTTGACATATTTAGCTGGTTCTTTTGCTACCCCTCCATATATCAGGCTTAAAATGCTGCTTAAAATTTTCTTTCTGTTTTAAACGTAATCTATTGACCTCCCCTGTGAAGGCTGAGGATTTAACTGTCTTTCACTCCCCTCATCATCACCACACACATATGCTTCTGGACCCTTCTTCTCTTCCCTTCCCCCACTCTAAAATTGATTATATTGAAATTTGGTTAGATCACTACTCAGTGTTTACATTATTATGCACACACACACACACACACACACACACACAGTTCACCGTTGACCTGTGCTCTATGCCTTGACCACTTTTCCTTTTTTTCACAACTTTTTTTTACCTCTATGCATAATTATCTTTTAAAAATTTGCTTATTAGTTTCTCCATACTCTTCCCCAGTGAGGAAATCTCCCAGTTACATTCAGTCATGTGAGTAGTCTAATAGTGTCTCTTCTTCAACACTTTCCTCCTGGCATCTGGCCTGGTGGCTTGCTAGGTCCTGCTATGTTGCAGTCATCTTGGAATCTGCTTTTGTGATCATCCTGTGGAATTCCTTCAGCTCTCCTCTGTTGGATCACCTGTTTCCTGAGTCCAGTGCCTTTCTTACTCTTTAAAAGAAATTCTTTTGAGCCCGCCCTGATGGCCCAGTGGTTAAAGTTCGGTGCTCACCATTTTGATGGCTTGGGTCCACTTCCTGGTTGCAGAGCCACACCACCTGTCTGTCACTTGCCATGCTGTGGTGGTGGCTCACATAGAAGGACTAGAACGACTTACAACTAGGATATACAACTGTGTACTGGAGCTTTGGGGAGGGAAAAAAAAAGAGCATTGATAAAAAATAGTTTTTTCAACTAGAGCTCACCATATCTTCAATAACTTCCTAAGAAAGAATATAAGGGGAGTATATTTTCTGAGATCTGCATATCTGAAAATCTCTCTACCTTTATGCTTAATGGATAGTGTGGCTAGATATAGAATTCTATATTGGATATAATTTTCCCTCCAAATTTTGAAAGCATTACTTCACTGTATTCTAGATTCTGGTGTTATTGCTGAGAAATTCATTGCCATTCTGATTCTTTTTTTTTTTAACTTTTTGTTGAGATTACTCCATGCAAATGGCAAAGAAAAGAAAGCTATGGCAGCAATACTTGTATCAGACAAAATAGACTTTAAAACAAAAAGTGTAACAAGAGACAAATGAGCACTACATAATGACAAAGGGAACAATCCAACAAGAGGATATAACACTTGTAAATATCTATGCACCCAATATACGAGCACCTAAATATATAAAGCAATGATTAACAGACATAAAAGAAGAAATAGATAGTAACACAATAATAGTAGGGGACTTTAACACTCCACTGACATCAACAGATAGCTCATCCAAACAGAAGAACAATAGGGAAACATTGGCCTTAAACCACAAATTAGATCAGATGGACTTGGTAGATATGTATAGAACATTCCATCCAAAAACTGCAGAATACAGATTCTTTTCAAATGCACGTGGAACATTCTCCAGGACTGATCACATATTAGGCCACAAAACAAGTCTCAATAAATTTAAGAAGATTAAAATAATACCAAGCATCTTTTCTGGCTACAAAGGTATGAAACTAGAAATCAACTTCAGGAAGAAAATCAAAAAAGGCACAACAATGTGGAGATTAAACAAAATGCTACTGAACAATTGAATCAATGAAGAAATCAAAGGAGAAATTAAAAAATACCTGGCAACAAATGAAAATACAACATGCCAACATCTACGGAAGAAAGGTTACATGCATATATTCCATCTACCGTCTGTAACCACAGCTCTCTTTTTGTTTTGTTTGTATTGGGATGGCTTTCATGTGGTTATGATTCAGGGTAGGAATGATGCTACATTTGTTTGTTTTCAGGGACTTGTAAACTTCTGTGGGTCCAAAAAGGAAAAGTCTCTCCTTCTCTGCTGAATTGACATGAAGGGACACCAAAGGCACTCATGTAACACACATGCATACACAAAAACACAGATTTTAAAAATAATTTCTGTGTATTAAAGTTACATGAAAACAGAGTGTTTTTCAGTGTTCAAGATGAGTTATACCTATCTTTTTTCCTCAGTATGTATTCATCTCTTCAATCGATTCTAGCCAATTTTAGGATGAAAAGCAAAAACCAAAGCTAATATAGTGAATATGGAGAGATTTTGGAAACCCCTGATTCTTTATCCAAATTATGAACATGTTATTTTTAGGGCTTCTGTGATCGTTATTCCTCTTGAAGCCAAAGGGAAAGTAACTTTTCTACATTCTGCAATTTTTTAGAATTTCATATTTTGAAAAGAAAGTCAATTATCGTTCTGAAATTGAGACCCAGACAGAGGAGAGCAAAGAAAAAGAGAAAGAAGAGGAGAAAAGCACAGAAACCGTGAGTAGTAAGATTCTAAGGCTGCTCTCACAGCCCATGGACATGAGTAGGATAGAAGCTGCAGGCGAGTCTTGTGATTTGTTACTGGCTGTAGAAATATAGACATAATTTTAGTGTTGAATATTGTCTATTTCTCTCCTATTTCCTTGTCTTGATTTGAATTTCATTCAGTGTAAGTTGTTGCAAGATGTCTTCCTGTCCTAGAGATTCTAGGAAATCACCCCCCATTTCTTCTTGACTGATTTCTTCTAAATTCCTAAGTGAACAGACCTACTACATGAAAAAGGAATTCTATCCACTCGATAATGAGATCTTTTGAGGATCTTACCCAGAAACGTGAGGTAGAATTGAAAGATCTTGGTTCTATCCCACTAGAATAGAATAGTTTGGATTCCAATTGAATAAAATAGTTTGAATGAAAAAGGTTTGTGTTGATATAGTCAGTGTTCTGTGGTAACTTAGAGATGTGACTTTGAGCCTGCAAACACAGAGTCCTAAGCATAGGGAAAGTTGATTTAGCCAGAAAGCTATAAGAACCACAGGAGCCTACACAAAATTCATTTACATAAAATATTCACGTTAGCTAATTCACTTATTCAACAAATATATATTGAATGCCTACTGTATGCTATGCTCTGGGCTGAGTTGCCTACTTTTGAAGAGAATGGAGAACATTTAGAAAACTGAGATGAAGAGATTAACAATACCATGTGACTAAAACTAATCAACAACCAATAATAGAGAAGTACTGAGACTTTCAAGGCGCTGTAAAAACTCACTGATAAAAATTCTGAAGCTACCAGGAAAAAGGAAAAGGCTACGGTGGAAAGAGTTGAGTAAATTAGAAACATAAATTGGCAACGGAATAGGGAGTGAGTTGTTAGCTGGATAAGGAAGCTTGTGCTTTGACACCGCTGTGAACCAGGGTTAATTTTAATTGTGATAAAATCATTATCATAAGTGCATCCAAATTGATCAGTTAATGTTCTGTAATGAAACAGAGTCGTGTCCAAAACGTTCCTTTCATACAAGATATTTGAGGCATTGTCAAAAGTTTCATCAAGTCACCAGTCTGTCTTAAGTGAATACTAACGGTTCACACTCTTTTCTCACAAAGAGGGTCATTTAATCTCTGATGCGAATCACATATGTGTGTTTGGACTTTCCTGTGTGACAGATTGGAAGTGAAGTGGAAACACTGAACCTTCAGGTGACAACCCTGTTTAAGGAGCTTCAAGAGGCTCATACAAAACTCAGTGAAGCTGAGCTAATGAAGAAGAGACTTCAAGAAAAGTAAGACTAAGAGATGAATTTCCTCCTCCTTCAAAAAATGTACATTTTTACAAATATGTTACTATATAGAAACATAGTTTTCCTACTGTGTAACTGACTAAAAGAAAAATAGAGACCCAATTAAAATGTAAGTTCAAAAAAATACTAATTTTCAGGTTAGTATATAAACATGAAATACTTGTAGTGATGTGGGGGAATGGGCCCACGGGACCCTGATTCTGCTGTTTGGGGTGCATCTGCTAGGCATCCTGGCCTATCTAAGGACCTGTAAAAAGCAGTGAGCCAGATTTCCTGTGACTTACTGAGCTGACAACCTTGATGTGGACAAACATAAAAGAAAGCTGCAAAGAGCAAGAACTTGAGAGATTAAGTTAGAAAAAACATTTTCATTTTCAGTCAGTTCTGAAGGCTCATATATAAATTCAGAATTTTGCATTTGTTTGTTTCTCTTGATGTAAGAACTTACCCCAAATGTAGGAAAGCTGAGTTGATGCTGGTCTTCGGATTAGTTGGCAAACATATGATGGGGTTCAGGGCAGGCCGCCCCAAGATGCACCACCCTGGTATGTGGATTATTTCGAGCTGGAGATAATAAAGGCTCAGAAGACTCAGGAAGAACATTTGAGCTTCCCCTAAACTGCCTAAAAGAATTTAACATAGAAGGTCTGTTCCAGGAAGGAGCTAACACCGTAAGACAGCTATAGTATAATGTGAAATAGGTGTGATAGGAAGGCACCAACAAGCCCATTTCTGGCCCAGCAAAACCTGTTTAACAAACATTTGCATTTGTGTCTCCATGTAAATTGTCTTCCTCTCCTCTGAAATCCCAAACCACTATCCCCAACTTCCTCCTTTGCCTTTAGCTGAAGATAATATTTAAGTTGGCAGCTTGGCCATTTTGTGGAGTTGCTCAGTTTTGCTGAGTTTCTCCCATGTATATATGTTATGAAGTTATGTTTGATTTTCTCCTGTTATTCTGTCTCATGTCAATTTAATTCATAGCCCAGCCAGAAGGACCCAGAGGGCAGAGGATTTGTCTTCCTCCCCTACACATATTTTCACTAAAATATACAAGTGTGTGTTTCCTTGAAGTTACATCTACTGAGGCTGTACAGTATTATGATAGTCTGGTACAGCAAGCAGCTCAAGCTAAGGACTTTAGAGAAACAGACCTATGTTGAAATATGGATCTACAGCTTATTTATGGTATCACCTCGGGCAAGTTATTTATTTAACCCCTCTGCGCTCCAGTTTTATCATTCATAAAATGTGTGTCATAATTCCTACTTCATAATGTCGTGCTAAGTGAGATAATGTTTAACATGCTTGGCATTACTGCCTTGCACATGGTTATCATTGGTTCATAGGTGCACTTATTAAATTGAAGTTTTCTTTCTGATCTTTAAGAGGACTAGGGCACTTCCTTTTTCCTTATTGAATCTTTGTCAGAAGTCATATTCTTTGTGCTTAACAGAACCCACAGCTTTTAAAAATATTACAGACATCCATGGATTGCTCTATCAAAAGCACCTTTAGCCAATTACTGCTTTGGTCTGTGTCTAAACAACAAAAATATATTTGCATCACTATTTAAAACAATTATTCCAAGTGGGCAGTAACTGTGTGATCTTAGATCTGTACTTTTTTATAGTAAAGAAGCAGGGAGGGTATTTTATTTTGTACTGTTAAATCCTTGACAAATGCAATCCTAAAATTCTTTGTATTTGCTACAGAATCTTGGGATTTGTTTAAAAGCCACTGCTAAATGAAGGAGCATTGTTTATCCTCATGAAATTTTGATCTTTCTTAGATGCCAGGCCCTTGAAAGGAAAAATTCTGCAACCCCGTCAGAATTGAATGAAAAGCAAGAGCTTGTTTATAATAACAGAAAGTTAGAGCTACAAGTGGAAAGCATGCGGTCAGAAATCAAGATGGAGCAAGCCAAAACAGAAGAAGAAAAGTGAGTGGGCCGTGATGGGATGGTCACTTCCTAAAAGAAGACAGGATAGTTCTTTTATACAGGTTGGAATGAGGTTTCGAGAATAAATTTTAAAATTTTCTCATATTTATTTGAAGGAGTACTAGGAGACTTTTCTGAGGAGATAAAATTGAAATTTTATTATAACAAAATTATGAAAATTGTTTGTAATCTATCTTGATTCTTTGGAAAAAAGTGTTTTCTTTGAGAGTAACAAAATGCTAGTAGGTGGTGGGATGATAAAGGTAGGAGAGAAGATTTTGCTATTTGAGTGTTCAGAAGAAAGTTGGGAGGCAAGACTGTATGTTTCTATGACTTTTTCCCCAAGATTCCATTTTTTAATTTCTTTTTAAATAGGTCCAAGTTAGCCTCTCTACAGCTGACACACAACAGGCTTCTTCAAGAATACAACAGTGCATTGAAAATGATTGAGGAGCTACAAAGGAAAGAGGTACTCATAGAAAACAAAATTTCCTTTCATAGCCTGGTAATGAATGGAAACTGTTGAACATGTCATATGTAAAGTAGTTGTGTTAATCTTTAACCAACTCAAGTTTCAAAGGTGGTTTTTCAGTTTATAATTGATTCCTTGTGTCTAGTGTTTATAACTTCTGATGTTCCACGTATGTATAATGTTCTTGGTGTACAAGATGGTGCTGCTGTCCTACAGTCAGGGTGTAAGCTTTTAGAATTTCTAACAGCGGGTGGATTTGCAGGGGAGCTAAGAGCCTGGGCTCCTGTGTGAGTAGTGCTTAATGAGACTGCTGGCTGGGGCTAGAGGTGCTGTGCTGTTTGCTGCTTGCAACTATTTTAGGGGCAGCTTGCTTGCTGCCAGTGAACTTGCCACCCGGGACTTAACGGGCTGCAACTTGAATTAGTAATAATGCCCAGCATGGTGGGATAATTTAAACACCATGGAGAGATATGTGAGGTGATGGATGTATTAATTAACCCGATGAGGGGACTCCTTTCAATTACGTTGTACACTTTAAATATCGTACAGTTTTGTCAATTTTACCTCAATAAACCTGCAATAAATAAGAAAGGCCATGGAAGCTTTGAATTAGAAGTGGTCTTTGAGTTTATATCCTTATAAATATACTTTTTGTTTTTCATTTAACTTTTTAATAGAATATTATTCCTCTCTAGGACCTAGTAAATTTTTAATTTAAATATGATTCTTCTTTTTCCACTGATTTCACAAAGTAAGAGTAATGTGAGTGGAAGAACAGCAGTGTCAGCAAGTTAAACCTCACTGAGATCGGAGTTTGTTATTATTTCCCTTATTTTAGTGTTTTCTGTTTTGGTAATTATTGTTTTAGATTAGGAAGTTATTATTTGCAAGCCATAAGTTAAATGAATACAACTTTGTGAGTAAGTTATCATTGCTAATTAACAGAACAGTTTAGAGCCAATCATTTAAGGAAAATAAGCCCTCATTAATATTTTACTAAAATAGGTTGAATTATTTCAAAACCATTTCTAGAATAAACTTGTCTTTTTTTCAGTCAGAAAAAGTGGATAAGGTGGTGCTGCAGGAAGTAAATGAAAAACTGGAACTGGCAGAGAAGGCCTTGGCCTCCAAGCAGCTTCAGATGGATGAGATGAAGCAGACCATAGCCAAGCAGGAGGAGGACCTGGAAACCATGACTGTTCTTAGGGCTCAGGTGAGAGACATTCCGAAACAGGAGCTGAGTGAGGCCAACCCTGGTTACATTCTCAAATGGGAAAGTGATGGTGTTTAAAATATGGTTTTTGATTTTATATTATTTCCACCAATATATTTTTTTAAACTTTTTTATTGAATTATATCACATGTGGAAAGTGCACTGACCCTTTTAAGTGTATGGCTCAATGAATGTATCCATTCTACAGTTGATAGATAGTTGGATTATTTCCAGTTTGGGGCGTTATTAATGTTGCTCGGACATTCTTGTGCATGTCTCTCTGTTCACCTGTGCATTTATTTCTGTTGGGTACACACCTAGGAGTGGAATTGCTAGTTCAGAGAGTATGCATGTTACTCGGTTCACGGTTTTCCAAAGCGGTTGTCCCAGTTTTCAGGCCCATCGATGGAGTTCCCATTGCTCTACATCCTTACCTATACTTGTATTATTAGTATCGTTACTTTAATTTTTAACCATTCTGGTGGGTATATAATGGTGTCTCATTTAATTTGCATTTCCCTGATGACTAATGAGATTGAGTGCTTTTTCAGATGTCTACTGGCCTTGTAGGTATCCCTTTTGTGAAGTGCCTGACCAAGTCTTTGCCCATTTTTCTTCTGGTTTGCTGGCTTTTCTGTGATTTTATAGTTCTTGATATACTCCAGTACAAGCCCTTGCCAGTTATGTTTGTTGTAAGTTTATTCACTCAGTGATTAGTTTTTTCACTTTCATAGAGGTGTCTTTTGATGAACAAAAGTTCTTAATTTTAATGTAGTCCAATTTGTCAGTCTTTTCATGTATGATTAGTACTTTTTGTGTCCTGTTTAAAAAACTCTCACTACCTGAAGGCCATGAAGATATTCTCCTATGTTGTCTTCCAAGAGTTTTATTGTTGTGCCTTTTACGTTAAGATCTAGAAACCGTCTGGACTTAGCTTCTCTGAATGGAGTGAGGTAAGGGTAAAGATTCATACTTTTTTCCTGTATGAATATCCTGTTGACTTGGCACCATCTGTTAAAAAGGCCATCTTTCCTTATGTACTCTGCTGCCCTTTGTCATATGTCGTGTCCCTGTACCCATGGGTCTGTTTCTGGACTCTCTACTGTTCCATTGAGCTATCTGTGTATCCTTGCTCCAATGTCCCATCCTGTCTTAACTTATTATAAAGCATCAAAAGTTTCGATATCCAGTAGAGTAAGTCTTCCTATTTCACTGATATTCTTCAAGAGGACCTTAGGTTTTCCTTCCCTTTTTCATTTTCATATACATTTTAGAATCTGCTTAATATTTTCCACACACACAGAAAACCTACTGGACCTACTGGGGTTTTGATTGGAATTATATTAAATAGATATAAGTCAATTTGGGGGAAATTGACATCTTTACAACATTGGCTCTTCCAATCCATGAATGTGGCATATCTTCTTTAATTCTTCTCAGTAATATTTTGAATGTTCTTAGTAAATATTTTTCTCATCTTTTATTAGGTTATTCCTAGATATTTTTTATTTTATGATACTATTGTAAGTAGCATCTTTTTTTAAACTTCATTTTCTAACACTTGCTGTTATATAGAAATACAATACTTTTATACATTGACTTTTTATGCAGTAAACTTGCTCAACTCATATTTTAATACTGACAATAGTTCTGAATATTCTCTTGGACTTTGTACATTGCTAATCGTATCATTTAAATAATGACAGTTTCTTTCTTTCCTTTCCAGTTCTTTCTGTTATTGATCTTTCTTCCTCATTGCACTGGCTGGGACCCCAGTACAATGTTGTGTTACAGTGGAGATAGCGGGCAGCCTTGCCTTGCTCCCAGTGTCAGAGGCAGTGCTTTCAACATTTCACTGTTAAGCATGTCGTGTTTGCTATAGCTTTTTGTAGATATCATTTATCAGAGTAAGGACATTTCCTTCTCTTCCTTGTTTGCCCCAAATTTTTATTTTGAGTGGATGTTGAATTTTATTTAGGAAATGTTTTTTCTTCATATGATGATATAATTGGATAATCATATGCCTTTTGCCTTTAATTTGTTAATGTGGTGAATCACATTGATTTTTTTAAATATTAAACAGACTTTGCATTTCTTGAATTATCCTCTGTTTATATTGCTGGATTTGGCTGGCTTCTATTTTGCTTAGGACTTCTGTATCCCTATTCTTGAGTAGGACTGGCCTAGAATTTTCCTTTTGCTAATGTCCTGGTCAGGTTTTGATGTGAGTTTTAGTGGCCTCATAAAAACAAGTGAAGGAAGATGCTTTTATTGTTCTCTGGAAGAATTTATGTATGATTGGCTTGTTGTGACTGTTTGGGCCCACTCTTGATCCTGGCGGGTGGAGTACTTGGAGGAGAATTTATTAGTGAGAATACATCCTGCCTGAGAGGTAAACTCACAAAAAGGGGGAAAACCTTTTTATTTTGTTTCCTTGCTTAATTAAAAATGAGATCACACCATACCTTTTGTACTACAACTTTTTCACTCATTGTATATCTTGGACATCTCTCCATGTTATTGCTCATAGCCAATATGTTATGTTTTTAACGGTTGCATAGTGTTCCAAAGTGTGCAATACCATGATAGATTTAACTTCTATTAATGGACATGGAGGGTGTACCAGTATTTATCCTATTAGCAACAATACTAAACTGCAGGTTCTTGTATATATGTCATTATGCACTTGTGGAATCTGTAGTAATATATAGAAATGGAATGGTTGGGTCATTGGATATGTGAATATGCCTGTTTTTAAGTTAAATATTACCAAGTTGTCTTCCAAAAATGCATACCCAAAATTATTCTCTCTCCAAAAGAGGACAAGAGCTCCTATTTCCCCATATCCTTACATCATTCTTTTACGTGTTTTCCAATCTGATAAACAGATTATTTTTAATATAACAATGTCAACAGTTTATTATTCCCTTTATGCATACTCATTACCAGCTGCCCGGAGTGGCTGGCCCAGTGAAACATGGAAGTGGTTGACTGGACATATGGCTTTAGTTTTATTTCTATAGGAATAGACTCTCAGACTGAGCTCTTTATAGCATTTCCTTTGTTTGGGTACCTCTTGATACTGTAGTCATGTACTTTTGCCACATTCTGTACACAGACATTTGTTTTGTTTTGATAGATACTCTTGTTCATTCATTCAGCAACTCTTTGAGCACCTGTCATATGTCAGGTCTTACTGCTTTTACTGCTGGGGATATAGGAATGGATAAAACAAAGACCCAATTCTTACTGGCTCAAAGCTAATAAGTGAGAGAAGTGAGACTAATTCAAATTTAGGTCTGACTCAAAAAAGCCCATGATCTATCAGTGATACCAAAATAAGCTGGATCATTCACAAATGGCAGGAAATCCCCTAAAATAATCTCTTTATTGCATACTTTTTTTTGTAGCTACAATTGTGATAGAATATTTAAATTTTTATTAATTTTACTCTTAAAGGTAATGGATAAAAATTTGTATCCTAGAACCACTAAATATGCAAAGAAATACCTAATTTTAAATATAGAATAATGCTCGATTCACTATTAAGTAGTTCATTTTTACTTTATAATTTTATAAAAATGAAGAAATTGTGATTATGGCATATTTATCTGTTTCTATTTCTATGTAACAAAATACCCTCCAAATTTAGCAGCTAAAACAACCACAAGCATTTGTTATCTCATACAGTGCCTATGGGTCAGGAATCCAGGAGCTGCTTATTAGCAGGGTGACTCTGGCTCAGAGTCTCTCATGAGGCTGTACCCAAGATGGACTGGAAGATCCATTTCCAAGATGGCTCACTCACACGCCCGGAGGGTGGGAGGCCTCAGTTCCTCACCATGTGCCTCTCATGATATCGCAGCTGGCTTCCCCCACAGTAAGTGATCCAAGAGAGAGCAAGTCAGAAGCCACAGTGTCTTTTATGATTTAGCCTCAAAGCTACACACCATCACTTCTGCAATATCTTAGTGGTTATGTGAGTTGGCCCTATTCACTGTGGGAGGGGACCACATTGGGGTATGAATACCAAGAGGTGAGGATCAGTGGAGCCATCTTGGAGGCTGACTATCACCACTGTGGGAAGTGGCATGGTATATGGAAGAATCCATGGTATATGGACTTCAATCTGGCTTCAAATGCTGGTTTGACCACTTAACTCATTTCCTCAAGATTAAGAGCCATTAAATGTATAAATGTAAAATGAGCATAGCAATTCTACATCCCCAGGATTTTTTTTTCTTTTTTTTTTTTAAAGATTGGCACCTGGGCTAACAACTGTTGCCAATCTTCCTTTTTTTTTTTTTTTTTTCCTGCTTTCTCTCCCCAAACCGCCCCTGTACACAGTTGTATATCTTAGTTGCACGTCCTTCTAGTTGTGGGATGTGGGATGCTGCCTCAACGTGGCCTGACGAGCAGTGCCATGTCCGCGCCCAGGATCTGAACCCTGGGCCACCACAGCGGAGCGCGCGAATTTAACCACTCGGCCACGGAGCTGGCCCGTCCCAGGATTTTTGATAAAGTGAAATAAGATAGTCAATATAGGCACCCAAAATAGGACCTCGCATGTTTGGAATTCAAGAAATAGCATCTATTTATTATTTTTATTTTAAATTTATCTTAAGGCCAGCCTTCATAAATATGCCTTACAGAGTAAATAAACCAATTACTATATTAAGCTAATCCTGAATGTTATGTTTAAAAAAACAGACCAGAGAATTTTACTGAATTAATGGTACTTATAGTATTTAAACCACCTGTACCCGTGTAGTTGCTGGGTTCTAACTGTTTAAAGGACACACGCACACACAACTTAGATCTTCTATTTGAAGGTAGTGGGAAAGTCACGGTCATTACACTGGCTTCCAGCAGGAACACGTACCTGTTCTTCACAAGGTGTGTCACAGGCTGCAGCACTGCCTCTTCACCTCCTCAACAGGTGAGCTGTAGGGAATCCACATTCGTCCAGGTAGTAACTTCTGTCTCTTTTCCCTCCAACAGATGGAGGTGTACTGTTCTGACTTTCACGCTGAAAGAGCAGCGAGAGAGAAGATTCACGAAGAAAAGGAGCAGCTGGCCTTGCAGCTGGCGATTTTGCTGAAAGAGAATAATGCTTTTGAAGACGGAGGCAGGTAAGGTGAGGGGAAGACTTAAAAAACACATCAGCGTGGGCTGTCGGAGAGGTGACCCGTCAGAGGTGTTTCCTAATTTCGGCTGTAAGCATCGTTCTGCGTACACTTCACTTGTGTTCCCAACACTTAGTTTGGCTTACAATAAGGCTTGGCAGCGTCTTGTGCAAACTTGAATTCTTTGCTTTTAGGTAAGCTATAAAAATATGACATTATGTGTTCCAAAGTCATATCCTGCTATTGGCATGGATGAAATATTCCCGACACTTTAAGTAATTCTGGAATTTGTTTTAAAAGACAATGTTGCTGAAATTACTTGTCTTTTAAATTTTCAATTTGAGAAAAATTTGAAATATAGAGAAATAGAAGTAGAAAAATAGAGAGAAAAAATAACACAAACCAATATGTACCTCTTCCAGAATTGACAGTTAGTAACATTTATTTGCTTCAAGTATATTTTTATTAAAAGAGAAAAGGGAGTAGTAGATGAAGTTGAAGTCTCCTTTGTTCTGCATCCCTCATTATATTCCTCTCTTCCCTTCCTCAGACTGCTTGAAATTTGGTGGGTAGCATCCACATGTGTTTTATTCTTTTACATATATACACATCTACATGATATCTTACAATGAGATAATAGTAATTTTTCTGCGCTTAAGTTACAAAGTGATCACTATAGGTATTGTTCTGCAACTTGCTTTACATAACATTGTGATTTTGAGCTCCGTATATATGTAGATTTAATTAATTAATTGCTCTGTAGCATCTTATTTTAGAAATGTGCTACTTTTTTCTGATCCATTCCCCTACCAATTGACAGTTTGGTTATTTCTTAACTGATTTTTTTTTAATCCTAATTGTTATTTACTTTTACTACATTGTGTCCTAGTGCCAATAATATTTAAAACTCAAATTGGTCTTAAGTTCTGGTTTTATGAACCTTGGCATTGTAGTTCAGCTCTTTTTTTCTCATACTTCTGTTGAATGTCTACTTAATGTTGAAATAATGTCATACTGCACAGTTTTAGAACATCACATAGAGTGTTGCTTGTAATCCCAGTAGGCAGTCCTTGATGGAAATGCAGAGCCGTCATGGGGCGAGAACAAGTGACTCTGACCAGCAGGTTTACCTTGTTGAAAGAGGTGAGTCACCTGTGATTCTAGATTTCCAGTCTTCCAGGGAATAAATATCCTATGAAGAAGATGCTTGAAGAAAAATTCTACTACATTCTATGCAATAGATTCCAAATCAAGCTACCAAAAATATAGCCCCTATCAGTTTTATTATGACTGTACCCCTATCTCCATCCATCATCTGCTGAATCCAGATCAGAGTCTTCACGCTGGCAGTTAAGGCCTGGCATAGCTAAACTTTTAAGCCTTCTCTCACTCTATTCCCATACAGATATTAGCCAACTGAACCACTCCCTGTTCCTTGAACCTGTCCTAGGCTTGTAAACCTACATGTACTTGCTTACGCAGTATCCTCCATGTAGATGCTGTTCCCTCACTCATATCCTTGTCTTTCTCCAGTCTCTTTACAGTGAATTCTTACTCCATCTTTAAAACCCATTTCAAAGACCATCTCCATGAATCCAACAGAATGTGACCTCTCCCTCTTAAATTTCCCAAGTACTTTATTCCTGTTTTAGTACTTATCGGCTATTTTATAATTATTTATGTGTTCTAAATATGTATTTAAGTACTCTATTAAATAAGCTGTCTTGGAGCTTATATCTCCACCCACTACCTGGTGTTATGCAAATAATAATGTTACCATTTATTGAGAGTTTACTATGCCTGGGTGCTGTGCTGATCACTTCATACACATTATTTCATGGGATCCTCACAAAATTCCATGAGGTCTATATTAGCACCATCTTCTGGAAGACAAGGTTAAATAATCCAGCATCACAAGGCTAGTTAGGGGCAGAACTGGACATGAAACCCAAGGTTATCGGATTCTTCACCACGACACGGTACTGCGTGTAAGAGATTGTCATTTAATTATGTACGACATCCAGACTTTAATTCCCTGAGTGAAACTGGTCATGACACTTATTACAAGTATAGTGCTGTGTTTATTACATGGTTTTAACACACTAGTAATAATGGTCTGTAATTTATAATAAATCACTGTCTCATAGTATATCACTGAAAGGGAAGTATTATCCTTCAATCTAGATATGAAAAAAAATTCAAAGGATTGAAGACTGACATAGCCAGATGAAGAATTAATAGCAATGCCACTATGAAGAATCTGGGTTTAGGATGCCATCCTAAACTTCACATGAAACTGGTTCTTTAACTTTTTTAAAAATTCTGGACCAGACTAAGTCCCTTCCATGTACCAACTGACTTTTGAAATGGAACTGTATCATAGTGTCCTCAGCAGCAAGGAAGCAATGTTAGTATTTATAGTTAACCATTAAATCTTGGGGAAATTTCCCTGAGTATCCCTTTTACCTCTCATCTCCCCCCATTCCTCCACCAAAGTTCTTTTACAGGAAAAAATAGGTTAAAGTAAATATTTGCAATAGTAGTTCAGGTTAAAAATAAACATAGTATTCATGGACATGCAGAAGTAGCAGCCTGTGGGCTTATGTAAATATTAGCCTCTGGTATTTTTTAGTATCAGCAGGTAAAGCTACTTTCTTCTCTAAAAGCTGCGTTTACCCACTTGGGCACTACCAGGCATTTTCTCTAATTCAATTTTAAATATCCTAGGAACAGCCATATAACTCATATCTAGAAGTGCCTACAAGATTGTGTTGAGTCAAAAAGGACAATCTGTTGCATCTGGGTTTCTCAGGGGAAGATTTTTCCCTTGTCATAATTACATAAGGCAAATGCCTATTTATATTAAAAAAAAAACTGCTCAAACACTCTTTGACTTACATTTACAATCTAAGTCTTTACAAAGTGCAAATTTATTTATAATTATCCTAATAAGCTTTGTTGTCTTTTAAAAAACAATATTCCAAACAGAGCTTTGTTTTTTTTAGTTTCTTAACAAAGCTGCCTGAAACAATAGCCTCTCTCAAGAAATTTCATTATCGTTGTTGTCAGCAGCCATCTAAGCATGTACTCTGGTCTAGGACTTGGCTGAGCACAAGGGAACAAGTGGGCATAAGGCAGGGTCAGATCCACGCGGGCTTATGGTCTAGTTGGAGAGACAGATGTGCACATAAAAAGATGAATTCATAATAGAAGATAACGAGTAAGTAACAGAATAACAGTGCTGAACATAAGAGGAAAGGGTGATCACTAAGGGCTAGGAAGCTGAGAAAGGCCTTGAAAAGATGTGACTTTCAGCTTGGCCTTGAGCTAGGGTTTAGCTAAGTGTGGTGTGAGAATAACAAGGCAAAGGCAGAAAGGAGTGTGATGTGGTGATCATGAAAACTGACTGCTCTTATTTACAATGAAGAGCCAGGAGGTGGAGGGGACCCAAAGGCCCCCTGATACAAGAGCCCAGTCTGAGTCTTGAAACCTAGACCAGGACCAAAAGAAAGGCACAGATGTGGGCAATAACGAAGAATTACCAGTCCCCGATAAGTGACTGGTTGTCATCTAGAGGAGGGTTTGGCAAACTGTAGCCCACAGGCCAAATCTGGCCCGTCACCTGTTGATAAAGTTTTGCTGGAACATAGCCATACCCTTTTGTTGACATACTGTGTATGGCTGTGTTCATGCTACAGTGACAGAGTTGAGTCGCTGTGAGAGAAATGATATGACCTGCAAAGCAGAAAATATTTACTTTCTGGCCCCTTTACAGAGAAAGTTTATTGACCTCTGCTCTAAAACAATGAGACCAGTAGAAAGTTCCCGCCTTCAGAAATCAAGCCTTGTGATCAATATTTCTATTCAAAAGTGCTTCTGAAATATGCCAAACACAGACTATCTTACATGTTATTCAATTCAAATAATCTGCTCGGAAGCAAATAACTGTGTTAAAGGTTACCTCCTCCTATCATCCTCCAAAAACAAACATTTTGGGGGCTAAGTCAAAGTCTAGAGACCTGCGCTGAGACTTTAGAAATCAAAATGGTTTGCATTGGTCCAGAGAGGTCAGACCAAGGGGATGTCCCGGGAACCAGAAGCCACTTCCAGCCCTGATCCCAGTTTGCACATCTGGGACCTGCCTAGAGTCAAGGCTTAGTTTGAGCATTCTTTAATTTAGATTTGAACCTCAACTCCCAAATTGGGGCAAATGACAGGACTCATTCTTCAATTCTTTCCCCTCGCTTACGTTGCCTGGATATCTCATTCATTCTTAAAACTCAAGTGGAATGAGTCTTTTCCAGAGGGCTTGTTTGCACAGAGCAGTCTGATGCAGGTGTCTTTCTCTGTCCTCCCACTGAACCACCTTGGGCATGACATAGCCGTGGCACTTGCCTCACATGCTGCCGCTGTCACTTTTCTTGCCTCATGTCCCCACCAAGTCTGTATGCCTCTCTTCCACATCACAGGGTGCTCAAAACTGTCTTTTGAGTGAACGTTAATTATTTTCTCTGCTTCTGAGAAGGTCTCCTGTTCTAGGATACCTTTCCCATGGTCTTCTCATTGTTTTCTCCACATTCTCTCCTTCTCTTTAGCTTATATCCTCATCTATCTCTTTTCTGCTCTCAACTATTCTCACTTTTACTAGAACATGTATTGTTTTATACCTAGAACTGAAACCACGCATTTTCATGTCCTGGAACCTGGAATAGAGCTTAAATCCTAAAATAATAGGGAAACAGGTACTGTTTTTGAAGATTTTCTTTCTATGCATACCAACTGCTTCAGTTAAAGACCAAAAAACCTGTATTTACTGCCCACCAAGTATTGATTACAAAGTTTGATGTTAAAATTAACCATCTATTCTCAAACATGGAAGGAATGGAATGACATTTCATTTAATGCTTATTTCCAGGAGCTGAGGATAGAAACTGGCAGCAACAGCAACAACGGAATATTCCAATTCATTCTTGCCCCAAATGTGGAGAAGTTCTGCCCGACATAGATACCTTACAGATTCATGTTATGGACTGCATCATTTAAGTGTCGATGTTTCACTTCCCCAACTGTTGGTAAATGTCAAGATTTTCTTCCTCCAAGAGTTGTACTTTTGTGTTATTTGTTTCCACTCAAATATTTTGGCTCATTGTTTGTTTTAGGAAAAAGAAAATGCGTATGTTCTAAACAGGACATTTTTTGTGGACTTCCATAAACTCACAAAATAGAATCCGTAACATACCAGTCTCCTGATCATAAATTCACTTTTTTTTTAACGTTCAGTTTATGTGAGCACGAACTGCTCATGCAGTTAATGAGCGTATGACATCATGGGACAGAATAAGAGTAGTTAGATGGAAGAAGCCTCGCTGAGAGATTTTAGGAACTTTTTAAGGAGGTAGGAAAAATGAAGTGGTCACAGGTTTAATCAAGTAAAGTGTCTTTGAAGTATTTTTAAAATAAATTATATTGTTATTTTTCTTCATCCACTTAAGACACATCTGTTTGGGGTTGTGTATAAATGTGTATGTCGTAGTTTTATGGCAGCCACAGTCATTGCACCAAAGTTATGAGATGGCTCTTTCCATATAAGCACTGTAAGCTTGTACTTGATCATCCAGACAAGTGCAGAAATACTGGCACACATGACGTAGAGACGTCAGGTTTGCTGGATTTCATATAACCATCACAGTGTAAAGAAGTTATCTTCATTCTTTCATTGTGCTGCAGGTATATGGGCCTATACGGTAGACAGTTGATTAACTGCTAAAAGGAACAGCTGTCTATTAATTTTCTTCCTGGATCAGGCTATGTATTCATAATCACAAAATAGTTACTGCAAAATAAAATTTTGCTTATGACTCTTTCATATTGTTCATATGTGATTGGCTAATTTCATAGGATGCATTTTCTGTATTCAGTTTTATATAAGCTTAATACTCAGATCTGTTGTGTTAATTCTATGAATATGAGCAAAACCCTTTACTGGAGACCAGTATATGTTGTTTGAATTAGAAGTTGTTCTTGCTAAGGAGGTGAAAAGATAAGGATTTGCCATATTTGGTAAACCTACAGTTTATCGAGATTGGCTAATACATTTTTTATGGCCAGCCATACAAGTAAACAATGTCCTTATGCATATATATATGCATATATAAATTTAATATATATATATTAAAACAGGAATCAAAATAGTTAATTATATCTTCATGCCAAGAGAAGACACTATACAAATTCAATAGTAATTTAAAGATTCCCCCACCTCACCTGAGAGAGAATGTTTGTTAAAGACATTTCTAAAATAGCTGTACAAATCTTACTTTTAATTTCTTGTTTATGGTTTCTAGTTTAAATTTTTTCCCTTACTATTTTATACTGGAGAAAATAGATTCCTGTAGTATCCTAAGTAGAAAGCAAGCCAAATGGTTTCATATTTAGGTTATGGGAATATCCTTTTCTTAGTTCAAGTAAAATTGTTAAGCTGATCTCAACTCTGACGTAGCAGTGTGAATGGGCTTAGGAAGCCTGGACCACATCGCTGTCTTGATGACTGGAAGAGCTGCAAATGCAGGCAAGTTCATGTGGTTGGTGTAAATTAAGGCCGTTGTTTTGAGGAAATCAAACAGTCTGGTAAACAACTTTTAAACTCTGTGCATGTCTTATCTAATTAATTTAGTCTGATATCTCTTCAAAGGCCTTGTTCCGTGTCACCAGTTAACTACAACATAGAGGAGTTTTAGCCCCTCTTCTAGGGCCTGCCATACTATATTCTTGAAGTTTTGTTAAATGGGAGCAATAGAAAGATGGGAACTGGGAAGAAATATAACTGAGCCACTGAAAATTTCACAGCTAAGTAATTTTATAATGGTAAGTCTTCAAATATTATATTTAAAAATAATTTTGATTTGGTCCAGCATATAAGGATCTTGGAAGTCATCCCTCCCATCCTTGTAACAAGACAAATGCTGAACAAACATAAAATCATCAACTCCTTTTAAATCCCACAGAGAATTGAGGTCACAGGGCAAACTACCATCCCAAAATTGCAGAGACAGACAGGCAGACACAGGGAGTCACAGATTACTGGATCAGAGCCTCAGGAGCAGAAACCATGGCAGGAGCCAGTACCTGAGTTGGAAAACTTAACCTGTAATTGAAGACTTGCTAAAGGCTCAGTGTGGACAAGCTTGAGAATTAAAAACTGCAGGGGGAGCACAATCTTAAGAGGACCCCCACACTTTTGTGAGTTTTATCTCCAGGAGCCCTACTAGATTCTCACAGTAAAGACTGGAGAACAATCCTCCCATGCTTCCATAAGGGCGAGGGGGGGAGCAGCCATTTTGAAATATACCAGAACATTCTGTTCTTCTTAACAAGTCCTGCCCTCAAGGGAGACTGTTTTACCAGGGCCTAACCTGCTGGAACATTATCAGAACCCAACTGACCTGGGGAAAGGAAATACCCAACTCCAGCCCCCTCAAGCTTTATTCTTCTCACCCAAGGAGGAGGAAAAAAATCCTGAGAAGCACTTTTAAAGGTTCCAGCCCAGGGGCGCAGGCTCACTAAAAGACTGAGGCCTTATCATAGGACCTGAAAACGCTTCCCCTCCTCACTATACCTTACCACCACATCAGTGGGCTCCTGTATAAACTGGGATTACAATGGAAGGAACTGCATATCTCAGACTTTATTTAAGAAGAAGTCTGTAGGGAAACCCAAAGATAAGAGAGGAGGAAAGAACGAGAACACCAGAGGAAATTTTAGCCTCTGACACCTACAGCTACAGCAAACAGTAAATGTAGTCCAATCTGTAGCCAGGTAAACACAAAACCTCACACTAAAGGCCTATTTACCTGAGTTCCTTTTACTTAGTACACCATGTCCAGTTTTCAACAAAAAATTATGAGGCATACTAAAAGACAAAAACACAGTTTTAAAAGACAGAAATATCAGAACCAGACACAGATATGATGGATGTAAGACTGGGACTTTAAAACAACTATGGTTAATACCCTAAGGGCTCTAATGGAAAAAGGTGACCATGCAGGAACACAGGGGTAATATAAGCAGAGAGATGGAAACTCTAAGAAAGAATCAAAAGGAAATATTCAAAATCAAAAACACTGAAACAGAAGTGAAGAATGCCTTTGACAGGCTCATCAGTAGACTGGACGTGGCTGAGGAAGTCATCAGTGAGCTTGAAGAAATATCAGTAGAAACTTCCAAAATCGAAATGCAAAGAGAAAGAATGAAAAAGAACAGAATATCCAAGAACTCTGGAACAATTACAAAAAGTGTAACATGTGCAATGAGAATGTGAGAAGGAAAAGAAAGACAGATGGGGACAGAGGAATTTTTGAAGTAATCATGGCTGAGAAGTTTTAAAAATTAATTTTGGACACCAAACCACAGATCCAGGAAGCTGACAGAACTACAAACAAGATAAATACTAAAACATCTTCACATAGGTATATCATATTCAAACTGCAGAAAATCAAAAGCAAAGAGAAAATATTGAAAGAAGCAGAGGGGAAAAAGACCTTACCTGTAGAGGAGCAAAGATAAGCAATATATTTGGCATCTCTTCAGAAACCATGCAAGCAAGAAGAAAAGAGTGAAATATTTAAACTGTTGAGAGAGAGAAAAACCATCAACCGAGAATTCTGTGTCCATGGAAATTATCTTTCAAAAGTGAAGGAAAAATAGACTTTCTCAAATAAACAAAAATTAATGGAATTTGTTGCCAGCAGACCTGCCTTACAGAAATGTTAAAAGAAGTTCTTCAGAGAGAAGGAAAATAATATAGGTCAGAAACTCAAAGAAAGTAAGAGGACTGGAGAAAGAATGAATGAAGATAAAGTCTTATTTTTCTTGTTTTTACTTGATCTAATAGATAAGAGTTTGTTCAAAATAATAATAGCCACAATGTCTTTGGTGATTATAGCTAAACGACAAATGGAATAAGGAGGGAGGAATTGGGAATACTCTGTTACAAGGTATCTGCACTACCTGTAAAGCTGTGCAGTGTTCTTAGAAAGTGAACTTGGATTAGTTGTCAGTGTGAATTGCAAACTTCAGGGCAACTACTAAAAAAAAATGTTAAAAAAAAGTACAATTGATATGCTAAGAGAAGAGAGAAAATGGAATAATATAAAATGTTCGATTAAAACCAGAGAAGCCAGAAATACAGTGGAAGGCAATAAAAGAAACAAAGAACAAGGGCAACGAATAGAAAACAGTAACAAATATGGTAGATGTTAATCCAGTTACATCAGTAGTCACTTTAAACATCATTGATCTAAATATACCAACTAAAAGACAGAAATTGTCAGAATGGATAAAAAAACAAGACCACCTATGTGCTGTCCACAAGAAACCCACTTGAAATATAGAGACATATATAGATTAAAAGTAAAGAGATGGAGGAAGATAGCATGCTAAGACTAATGAAAATAAATCTGGAGTAGCTATATTAATTTCAGACAAAGAAGACTTCAGAGCAAGGAAAATTGTCAGAGATAAAGAAGGATATTACAAAATGAAAAAGGGGTCAATTCTCCAAGAAGACAAAATATCTTTAATGTATATGCACCTAACAACAGAGCATCAAAATACATAAGACAAAAACTGATAGAACTGCAAGCAAAAAGAGAGGATTCCACTAGTATAGCTGAAGACTTCAAAACTCCTCTATCAGTAATTAATAGACCCAATAGGCAAAAAATCAGTAAGGGCATAGTTGAACTGAACAGCACAATCAACCAACTAGATCTAATTCACATTTGTAGAATATTTCATATTCTACACACAGCAGAATGCACATTCTTCTCAAGCTCATACAGAACATACACCAACACAGACCACATTCTGAGCCACAAAACACAGCTTAACAAAAGTGAAACAATAGGAATCATGCACTGATTCCACAGAAAGATACGTGGAAACCCTCAGCACACTGGGAAATTAAACAACAGACTTGTAAATAATGGGTTAAAGAAGAAGTCTCAAGAAAAATTTTAAAATATTTTAAACAAATGAAAGAATAACTTATCAAGATTTCTGGGATGAAGTGAAAGCAGTGCCTAGCAGGAAGTGTATAGCATGGAATACATATATAGAAAAGAAGAAAGATCTAAAACCAATGATCTAAGCTTTCACTTTAAGAAACTAGAAAAAGAATGGCAAGTTAAACACAAAATAAGCAGGAGAAGAGAAATAATAAAAATTAGAGCAGAAATCAATTAAATCAAAACCAGGAAACCAATAGAGAAAATCAGTGAAACCAAAAGCAGGTTCTTTGAAATGGTCAATAAAATTGATAAACCCCTAGCCAGGTTAGCTAAGAAAACAGAAGACAAATTATTAATATCAGTATACCAGCAATGAACAACTGGAACTTGAAATTAAAAAACAATAACATTTACATTAGCACCAAAACATGAAATAGGTATAAATCTAATAAAATATGTATAAGATCTGATGAAAGAAATCAAATAACTAAATAAATGGAGAGACAGTCCATGTTTATGTATAGGCTCAATATTGTCAAGATGTCAGTTCTTCCCAAACTGACCTATAGATTCAATGCAATCCCAATCAAAATCCCAACAAGTTAGGGGCCAGCCTTGTGGTGTACTGGTTAAGTTTGTTTGCTCCACTTTGGCGGCCCAGAGGTTGCCGGTTTGGATCCCAGGCAGGGACCTATGCACTGCTTAGCAGGCCATGCTGTGGCAGGCGTCCCACACATAAAGTAGAGGAAGATGGGCTCAGGGCCAATCTTCTTCAGCAAAAAGAGGAGGATTGGCAGCAGATGTTAGCTCAGGGCTAATCTCCCTCAAAAAAAAAAAAAAAATCAAGTTATTTTGAGGCTATCAACAAACTGATTCTAAAGTATGTATAGAGAGGCAAAAGACCCAGAATAGCCAGCACATTATTGCAGGAGAAGAACAAAGCTGGAGGACACTATCCAACTTCAAGACTTACTATAAAGCTACAGTAAACAAACAGCATGGTATTGGCAAAAGAATAGACAAATATATATCAGCGGAACAGAACAGAGAGCCCAGAAATACCGAGATAGTCAACTGGTCTTTGACAAAAGAGCCAAAGCAATTCAATGGAGAAAGGGTAGTGTTTTTAACAAATGATGCTGGCACAATTCGACATCTGCATGCAAAAAAATGAGTCTAGGGCCAACCCCAGTGGCCTAGTGGTTAAGTTCAGCAAACTACGCTTCTGTGGCCCTGGGTTTGGTTCCTGGGTGTGGACCTACACCACTCTGTTAGTGCCCATGCTGTGCTAGAAGTCCACATACTAAAATATAGAGGAAGATTGGCACAGATGTTAGCTCAGAGCAAATCTTCCTCAGCAAAAAAAAAAAAAAAAAAAAAAGAATTTAGACACTGACCTTACACCTTTCACAAAAACTAACTCAAGCCACAGACTGGGAATAAATCTTTACAAATCACATATCTGATAAAGGACTGGTATCCAAAATAAACAAAGAACTCTTTAAAGATAAGAAAATAATCCAATTTAAAAATGGGCAAAAGATAACAAGTACCTCACCAAAGAAGATGTACAAATGGCAAATAAGCACATGAAAAGATGTTCAACATCATATGTCATTAAGGAATTGCAAATTAAAAC